CCAATGCGGTTTCCACCTTAAAAACACGCAGCTAAAAACTCGCAAATGTTTCTCAAGTTTGACGACGCCTCAACAGTAATGAGACATCCCAAACCCTAATCTCAGAACCATTAACAGACATTTTAGGCGTGTACTGAACGGTTAGTCTTGTGTGTTTCATCATAAAAACAACCATGGGCCTATTAAGTCTCCCCAGCTGTTCCCCGTTCAGCCATCAAACAGGATGAAATGTGTATGCACTTTGATCTGACGGTTTACCATTTCTAAACTGCCAATCATGCAGACTCCAGGACTAAACAAATCAATACCACGATCTGAAATGGACACCAATAGGCTACGTGAATGAGCTCCTATAAACGTATCAGATAGTACTTTGTTTTTAAACGTGATGGAGATTTAAAAAGCACTTCCCTTGCTTTTGAAACTCAACACTCATCCCCGTTGATGAGGATTGCCTGCTTTTACGACGGTGGCCAAAACCTTGTTAAAAGTAAAATGGATCCAGAGGCAAATGTTTGGGAACAGATGCGGATGAATTGTCTATTTACAGCAGAGTATATCCCTTCTTTGTCTATCCTTCATTGGTGGCGACAACTAATCCTTCTGTAGTGCACAATGAGAGGTTTTTTATGTCCTTACAATAGTAATGTCGATGGAGAAACTTCAACGGTTGTACAGACGCTTTCATCCCTTCCACAGGAGACGCAATTCTCTTGCCAGTCAAAGAAACACTAAAGACGGAACTTCCATTCAAGACATTTCATCTAATTCGAAAAGAGTCTGGTCTTGGTTATCTTTGGTTGTGCCCCGGGTGTAAATATCAAATAATGATGACACCAGGTTTTCGCGAAACGGTTAGCCTGTCCTGTATTGGACATCATTTTAGTGACTGATGCGTCACATTTAGAAACAAAATTTAACATACAAATGCAAGATGATACCAATGACCAGTGAAGCAAATTTGCAGATTTGGTAATCATTATTGTGCAAACAGATCATGACATGAGTTATAGCGTTGCATTTACTCTTCGTGTTACCGATTACATGTAAACTTTCAAATGTATGTTTGGTCTAAAGGTAGAACGTCTGGTCGGAGAAAAGAAAGTCATGGATTCGCTTCCCGGCCGCGTCATAAGACGTTAAGAGATGGTACTTGTTGTTTCCCTGTATGGCACTCGGCATGAAGGCATAAAATAAGGACTGGTCGGCTCGGAATTTGTCTGATTGGGGTATCCATGTTAAACTATGGTATGGTACCACACACACGCACGCACGCACACACACGCACGCACACACGCACGCACACACGCGCACACACGCGCACGCACGCACACACACACACGGCATCATTTTCGTCACTGATGTGTCAAAATTTGGAAATGAACTCCGAATGTCAGTCATAAAACTTTTTGAAAGCTTTGCTAAAGCCTTGAATGTTGGAGGTGATGAAACAACTTCTGAGCAAGAGTCGTATCTTTGAAATCTCCGTAGAAAGAGCATACTCAATTGTATCTAGAAATTTGTGAAATGCAGACACCAAAGGCTGAAGATGCTGGAATGGTGCTCGACATGAAGGGAAAATTGATTATTGAAATGCTGAAGTCATCCTTCTTGTCATACAGTCATGTGCAAAGTCTTCCATCAAATCCATTACCATCATTTTAGTAATACATTATGTCGTAGAACACAGCCCATGTATGTCCAGTGGGATATCGACCAATCACTTCTTTGAACATCACTCATCAATCGAATATTGTCTGGATTTTACCAGATTGAAAGAGTTCTGTTAGAAATATATTATTTTCAAGGCAAAAAAATAATTCGAAAGTTGAGTTTAATGGTTTCCGAAAAATCTAGCATGGATATGTAACGCACCAAAAGGTCAATCTGTTGATAGAAAACGTTAAAGAGGGCATTCTAAAGGTATTTTGTACAGACTGTCTTGAAGTAAGCGTTGTAATGACGTCAGACTCGTACTTTAATCGCCAATATACATCTTTCTCAGAAAACAGTGTTCCTCCGCGTAATGGTAATTGAAACAAATCCACACGAGGACTTAAAGGGATGTTTCAATACGAAGACTTGTAATACCATGATGTATTTGTCTGCAAGCTGCTTAGGAGGCTAATGGGAGGTATAAGAGTGCATACATCAGCGAATACAGCGCTGTGGGCACGGCGGTACTAGAGGTATTAGACATTGAGTATCAGGTATCAATTACTCCAACGTCTGACTTTATGGTCCAGGACATCATAAATGTCACATTCAATTTTCCCTTTGAGCGTTGAAGTGTACTATATTCATTGTCTGTTAAATTACCGTCTTATGTTCTGCTACTGTAATACAGTAATTACGATCGCTTCTTCTGTGGTCACCCACGCAATGGGAACCTTCCACTGTTGATGTGGAACGCTTTAAGACATAAATCATCTTCCCGAGGCAAGAGAGTTAACTGACTATAAAAGTCCAGTTTCCACCCTTGCCGAACTAGGCTCGTATTATGGAGTTACATTTTGGCTGGACTAACGAGTCTATGCATAGTCCAATCAAAATCGCGCACCGAAATCGAAATCCGGTTCGTAAACTGTCGTGCAGATTTCGGTCGATTGCAGGATTTGCAAAGCATGTGCACCACCAACTCGTTGTCAGCAGATATTTTCCAAATCTTTTATGTTTTTAATCACGGTGCTCGCGTGATTTGATGCATTTCGCGATGTAAGACCCGTTTTATCACAATATAAATCTTGATTATCGATCAGATCTTCCTGACTGGGCGCCACAATTCTGTGTGAAGCAAACGCAAGTGGTACGAGAGGTGGAATCTGATTGGTCCATAGGAGATGCTTAGAAGGGACATAGCTGGTAATAGTCACTGGTGGCGCTACGATCGAGCCCAGTTATTCCAGACAAGTTCGGCAAGGGTGGAAACTGGATTTCAATTCCTTTCTGAGTGGGGGCACGGGTGGCCCAGTCGTCTAAGGCGCCGCGATTCGCTGTGCAGAGTTGAGTCCCTTGGACGAATCCCGGTTCGCCCCGATTATGTTTCTAGGTTTGTCAGCCCCATACCCTGCTCGTGGGTTTCACCGAAGTGGTAAACGTCTGATACCTGCATCTCTTCGGGCTTTCCTCCCACATTAAGCTGACACGTCGTGATATAACTGGAATACTGTTAAAAGCGGCGATAAACCCAACTCACTCACTCACTCCTTTCTGTGTTCTGAAATGGTATATGTGGCAATAGGTTCTGGACAAGTGGAATAGTCTTAGATGTAAGTCAAAAATCGTCCTACTACAATCGTTGTGATAGGTTGCTATCGTCGTTTATATTTAGAAATCTCAGGAGCCGCTGGTCATTAGTTCAAATCCAAGTTTTGCTTCGGTTACGACCATGGGTTTGTAAGGATCATATCCGTGTTTGTTGGTTTCATCCAACCAACACCCCCACCTCCTATTTAACCAACACCCCAACTTCCTATCTAATCAACTCGCCCACTTCCTATTTAACCAACACCCCAACTTCCTATCTAATCAACACCCCCACTTCCTATCTAATTAACACCCCAACCTCCTATCTAACCAACACCCCAACTTCCTATCTAATCAACACCCCCACCTCCTATTTAACCAACACCCCCACTTCCTATCTAATCAACACCCCCACCTCCTATTTAACCAACACCCCCACTTCCTATCTAACCAACACCCCTACAACCTATCTAATCAAAACCCCCACTTCCTATCTAATCAACACCCCCACTTCCTATCTAACAAATACCCCCACTTCCTATCTAACCAACATCTCCACTTCCTATCTAACCAACATCCCCACTTCCTATCTAACTAACACCCCCACTTCCTATCTAACCAACACCCCTACTACCTATCTAATCAACACCCCCACTTCCTATCTAATCAACACCCCCACTTCCTATCTAACTAACACCCCAACTTCCTATCTAATCAACACCCCCACTTCCTATCTAATCAACACCCCCACCTCCTATCTAACCAACACCCCAACTTCCTATCTAATCAACACCCCCACCTCCTATTTAACCAACACCCCCACTTCCTATCTAATCAACACCCCCACCTCCTATCTAACCAACACCCCCACTTCCTATCTAACCAACACCCCTACTACCTATCTAATCAACACCCCCACTTCCTATCTAATCAACACCCCCACTTCCTATCTAACCAATACCCCCACTTCCTATCTAACCAACATCCCCACTTCCTATCTAACCAACATCTCCTCTACCTATCTAACTAACACCCCCACTTCCTATCTAACTAACACCCCCACTACCTATCTAACCAACACCCCCACTACCTATCTAACCAACATCGCCACTTCCTATCTAACCAACACCCCCACTACCTATCTAACCAACATCTCCACTACCTATCTAACTAACACCCACACTTCCTATCTAACTAACACTCCCACTACCTATCTAACCAACACCCCCACTACCTATCTAACCAACATCCCCACTTCCTATCTAACCAACATCCCCACTTCCTATCTAACCAACACCCCAACTTCCTATCTAACCAATACCACCACTTCCTATCTAACTAACACCCCCACTTCCTATCTAACTAACACCCCCACTTCCTATCTAACCAACAACCCCACTTCCTATCTAACCAACACCCCCACTTCCTATCTAATCAAAACCCCCACTTCCTATCTAACTAACACCCCCAGTTCTCATCTAACCAAAACCCCCACTTCCTATCTAACCAACACCCCCCACTTCCTATCTAACCAACACCCCCAGTTCTCATCTAACCAAAACCCCATCCTCGTATTCAACCAACAACCCTTAGTGTCCCTCAAACCAACACCCCCACTTCCCATCCAACCAACACTCCCACTTCCCCTCCAACCAGCACTCGCACCGCACCCCACCACATCTCGACCTACCGTTCTCGTCTCTCCTAGCGATAAAGCCTGAACTCGTACCGCACCCCACCACATCTCGACCTACCGTTCTCGTCTCTCCTAGCGATAAAGCCTGCAACGGCTGCATCTCTAACGTTAGGGTTGTAGTCCTGTAGGTGACGTCGCATCTCCTCAAATGTTGCCCTGCCGTCGTTGTTCCTGTCAATCTGAGTGGCAAACCTATCCTTCAGCACTGAAATATCCAGAAAGCATGCATGCTTTAGACGAAATCATGTTCTATATATTTTACACACTTAACAAATGACGTATATTTTAATATGTAATCCAGTGATTGATATCATGAGCATCGATCCATGCAATTGGGTTACGATGACATACATCAACCAAGTCAGCGAGCCTGACCACTCGATCCCGTTAGTCGCCTCTTACGACAAGCATAGTCACCTTTTACACCAAGCACGGGTTGCTGAAGACCTTTTCTACCCCGGATCTTCAGGGGTTACCTAATTCAAGTGATTAAACTAATTTTGTATTGTGTGTGTTATGATAGACGATGTAATATATGAAATGGTGTTAATTATGATTTTATTACTTAATGAATACACAATGTCATTTAGAAAGTGGTCAAATGTAACCAATGTTATATTTCGGATAACACTTTCTTAGTAAAGCACAGATTCTCGTACTTTTGGGGGTTGAGTCCCGTCCGGGATTCGAACCGGTGCTGGCGATTGGGTTCTTCACTCTGGCAGTGCAAGCTTCGAATCCCGGACGGGACTCAACCCAAAAAGTACGACACTCTGTACTTGACTGAGAAAGTGTTATCCCAAATATATAACATTTGCTACGTGTATTACTTAATGTTAGATTTGTAAGTTATCAATGAAATATGATGATGATTTTATGGTATTGATGTTATTGTTTCATGTTTGTTAAAAAAGGATGTTAAGTTAAGATGTTAAATTAATTATTTAGTTAAGTTAATACAGTTAAATATTTAAACGGTCGGTTGAAAATAACTGCTGAAACATTTCAAAGAGTTAATTCCCATATCAAGACCTACTTCTTCTTTTTTTCTGAAAGAACTAGGTGGGACAACGGCCCTTTTTGGCCCAAAATACAAGCGTAATTTTAGGATTAAGCAAAACTATTCGAAATTGTTATTAAAGTCATCATTTGAATGTGTTCCTATCAATGACATCTAGACTTTGTTCCTTTCAACAATTACATGTTTGCGACTATGGACCGCCTCTGTGGCCTCGTGGAAGAGCGCCCGCCCGGAGAGACGGTAGACTGTGTCTTATTGTAGTAGAGAGTAGACTGTGTCTTATTGTAGTAGAGAGTAGACTGTGTCTTATTGTAGTAGACAGTAGACTGTGTCTTATTGTAGTAGAGAGTAGACTGTGTCTTATTGTAGTAGAGAGTAGACTGTGTCTTATTGTAGTAGAGAGTAGACTGTGTCTTATTGTACTAGACAGTAGACTGTGTCTTATTGTAGTAGAGAGTAGACTGTGTCTTATTGTAGTAGAGAGTAGACTGTGTCTTATTGTACTAGACGGTAGACTGTGTCTTATTGTACTAGACAGTAGACTGTGTCTTATTGTAGTAGAGAGTAGACCGGGTCTTATTGTAGTAGAGAGTAGACCGGGTCTTATTGTAGTAGAGAGTAGACTGTGTCCTACTGAACTAGAGAGTAGACTGTGTCTTATTGTACTAGACAGTAGACTGTGTCTTATTGTACAAGACAGTAGACTGTGTCTTATTTTACTAGACAGTAGACTGTGTCTTATTGTAGTAGAGAGTAGACTGTGTCTTATTGTAGTAGAGAGTAGACTGTGTCGTATTGTACTAGACAGTAGATTGTGTCTTATTGTAGTAGAGAGTAGACTGCGTCCTATTGTACTAGACGGTAGACTGTGTCTCATTGTACTAGAGAGTAGACTGTGTCATAATGTACTAGACGGTAGACTGTGTTTTATTGTACTAGAGAGTAGACTGTGTCTTGTTGCACTAGACAGTAGACTGTGTCTTGTTGCACTAGACAGTAGACTGTGTCTTATTGTACTAGAGAGTAACTGTGTCTTATTGCACTAGACAGTAGACTGTGTATGATGGTACTAGAGAGTAGACTGTGTCCTATTGTACTAGAGAGTAGACTGTGTCCTGTTGTACTAGAGAGTAGACTGTGTCCTGATGTACTAGAGAGTAGACTGTGTCTTATCGTATAAGACAGTAGACTGTGTCCTGTTGTACTAGAGAGTAGACTGTGTCTTATTGTACTAGACAGTAGACTGAGTCTTATTGTACTAGACAGTAGACTGAGTCTTATTGTATAAGACAGTAGACTGTCACTTATTTACAAGACAGTAGACTGAGTCTTATTGTACTAGACAGTAGACTGAGTCTTATTGTATAAGACAGTAGACTGAGTCTTATTGTACAAGACAGTAGACTGTGTCTTATTGTATAAGACAGTAGACTGAGTCTTATTGTACAAGACAGTAGACTGTGTCTTATTTACAAGACAGTAGACTGTGTCTTATTGTACAAGACAGTAGACTGTGTCTTATTGTACTAGACAGTAGACTGTGTCTTATTTACAAGACAGTAGACTGTGTCTTATTGTACTAGACAGTAGACTGTGTCTTATTGTACTAGACAGTAGACTGTGTCTTATTGTACTAGACATTAGACTGTGTCTTATTGTACTAGACAGTAAACTGTGTCTTATTTACAAGACAGTAGACTGTGTCTCATTGTACAAGACAGTAGACTGTGTCTTATTGTACTAGACAGTAGACTGTGTCTTATTGTACTAGACAGTAGACTGTGTCTTATTGTACTAGACAGTAGACTGTGTCTTATTGTAGTAGAGAGTAGACTGTGTCTTATTGTAGTAGAGAGTAGACTGTGTCTTATTGTAGTAGAGAGTAGACTGGGTCTTATTGTAGTAGAGAGTAGACTGTGTCCTACTGAACTAGAGAGTAGACTGTGTCTTATTGTACTAGACAGTAGACTGTGTCTTATTGTACTAGACAGTAGACTGTGTCTTATTGTACTAGAGAGTAGACTGTGTCTTATTGTAGTGGAGAGTAGACTGTGTCTAATCGTACTAGAGAGTAGACTGTGTCTTATTGTAGAAGAGAGTAGACTGTGTCCTATTGTACTAGACGGTAGACTGTGTCTTATTGTACTAGAGAGTAGACTGTGTCCCATTGTACTAGACAGTAGACTGTGTCTTGTTGCACTAGACAGTAGACTGTGTCTTATTGAACTAGAGAGTAGACTGTGTCATAATGTACTAGACGGTAGACTGTGTTTTATTGTACTAGAGAGTAGACTGTGTCTTGTTGCACTAGACAGTAGACTGTGTCTTGTTGCACTAGACAGTAGACTGTGTCTTATTGTACTAGAGAGTAAACTGTGTCTTATTGCACTAGACAGTAGACTGTGTCTGATGGTACTAGAGAGTAGACTGTGTCCTATTGTACTAGAGAGTAGACTGTGTCCTGTTGTACTAGAGAGTAGACTGTGTCCTGATGTACTAGAGAGTAGACTGTGTCTTATCGTATAAGACAGTAGACTGTGTCCTGTTGTACTAGAGAGTAGACTGAGTCTTATTGTACTAGACAGTAGACTGAGTCTTATTGTATAAGACAGTAGACTGTGTCTTATTTACAAGACAGTAGACTGAGTCTTATTGTACTAGACAGTAGACTGAGTCTTATTGTATAAGACAGTAGACTGTGTCTTATTTACAAGACAGTAGACTGCGTCTTATTTACAAGACAGTAGACTGTGTCTTATTGTACAAGACAGTAGACTGTGTCTTATTGTACAAGACAGTAGACTGTGTCTTATTTACAAGACAGTAGACTGTGTCTTATTGTACAAGACAGTAGACTGTGTCATATTTTACTAGACAGTAGACTGTGTCTTATTGTACTAGACAGTAGACTGTGTCTTATTGTACTAGACAGTAGACTGTGTCTTATTTACAAGACAGTAGACTGTGTCTCATTGTACAAGACAGTAGACTGTGTCTTATTGTACTAGACAGTAGACTGTGTCTTATTGTACTAGACAGTAGACTGTGTCTTATTGTACTAGACAGTAGACTGTGTCCTATTGTACTAGACAGTAGACTGTGTCTTATTTACAAGACAGTAGACTGTGTCTTATTGTACTAGACAGTAGACTGTGTCTTATTTACAAGACAGTAGACTGTGTCTCATTGTACAAGACAGTAGACTGTGTCTTATTGTACTAGACAGTAGACTGTGTCTTATTGTACTAGACAGTAGACTGTGTCTTATTGTACTAGACAGTAGACTGTGTCTTATTGTAGTAGAGAGTAGACTGTGTCTTATTGTACTAGACAGTAGACTGTGTCTTATTGTACAAGACAGTAGACTGTGTCTTTTTGTACAAGACAGTAGACTGTGTCTTATTGCACTAGACAGTAGACTGTGTCTTATTGAACTAGAGAGTAGACTGTGTCATAATGTACTAGACGGTAGACTGTGTTTTATTGTACTAGAGAGTAGACTGTGTCTTGTTGCACTAGACAGTAGACTGTGTCTTGTTGCACTAGACAGTAGACTGTGTCTTATTGTACTAGAGAGTAAACTGTGTCTTATTGCACTAGACAGTAGACTGTGTCTGATGGTACTAGAGAGTAGACTGTGTCCTATTGTACTAGAGAGTAGACTGTGTCCTGTTGTACTAGAGAGTAGACTGTGTCCTGATGTACTAGAGAGTAGACTGTGTCTTATCGTATAAGACAGTAGACTGTGTCCTGTTGTACTAGAGAGTAGACTGAGTCTTATTGTACTAGACAGTAGACTGAGTCTTATTGTATAAGACAGTAGACTGTGTCTTATTTACAAGACAGTAGACTGAGTCTTATTGTACTAGACAGTAGACTGAGTCTTATTGTATAAGACAGTAGACTGTGTCTTATTTACAAGACAGTAGACTGCGTCTTATTTACAAGACAGTAGACTGTGTCTTATTGTACAAGACAGTAGACTGTGTCTTATTGTACAAGACAGTAGACTGTGTCTTATTTACAAGACAGTAGACTGTGTCTTATTGTACAAGACAGTAGACTGTGTCTTATTTTACTAGACAGTAGACTGTGTCTTATTGTACTAGACAGTAGACTGTGTCTTATTGTACTAGACAGTAGACTGTGTCTTATTTACAAGACAGTAGACTGTGTCTCATTGTACAAGACAGTAGACTGTGTCTTATTGTACTAGACAGTAGACTGTGTCTTATTGTACTAGACAGTAGACTGTGTCTTATTGTACTAGACAGTAGACTGTGTCTTATTGTACTAGACAGTAGACTGTGTCTTATTTACAAGACAGTAGACTGTGTCTTATTGTACTAGACAGTAGACTGTGTCTTATTTACAAGACAGTAGACTGTGTCTCATTGTACAAGACAGTAGACTGTGTCTTATTGTACTAGACAGTAGACTGTGTCTTATTGTACTAGACAGTAGACTGTGTCTTATTGTACTAGACAGTAGACTGTGTCTTATTGTAGTAGAGAGTAGACTGTGTCTTATTGTACTAGACAGTAGACTGTGTCTTATTGTACAAGACAGTAGACTGTGTCTTTTTGTACAAGACAGTAGACTGTGTCTTATTGCACTAGACAGTAGACTGTGTCTTATTGTACTAGACAGTAGACTGTGTCTTATTGTACTAGACAGTAGACTGTGTCTGATTGTACAAGACAGTAGACTGTGTCTTATTGTACAAGACAGTAGACTGTGTCTTATTTACAAGACAGTAGACTGTGTCTTATTGTACTAGACAGTAGACTGTGTCTTATTGTACTAGACAGTAGACTGTGTCTTATTGTACTAGACAGTAGACTGTGTCTTATTGTACAAGACAGTAGACTGTGTCTTACTGTACAAGACAGTAGACTGTGTCTTATTGTACAAGACAGTAGACTGTGTCTGATGGTATTGGTATGCCGTACCAGTGCAGGCTTAAACAGAACAGTGCAATGCTGTACACGGTAAGCGGTCGGCCAGCTTTTCGAGAAGAGTGTAAGCGGGCACCGTTGAACACGTATCCATGTCGATAATGTCTGACTGATAATACTTATGACCCATGGTGAATATTCATTCCGAGGAAATGGGGTGTAGAAGCTTTCCTTCGTGTGGGCGGATTGTTTGTTTTGGGTAAGCGAGTGTGTGTACTCTCTGTCTGAACATAGTGACTCCTCCGTTAACGATCTGTATTTCGTTACTCGCTGTTGTGAGAGCCTATTATTACGCTTTCTGTCATCCGGACGATTTCAGTGTTTGACTCGTCTAATGTGCAGTTTAGAATCAAAATGAGATTCTCAATTCCTACCTATGCTCGAAACCTTGCGCAACAAACACTTCTACCTGTATAAGTGTGACAATCACTTACTTATACACTTATCCCTATAAAGGTTAGAAAAAATAACTTTTACAAACTCAGCACAAAGAGTATGAGAGAGTGTGAGACAGAGGAGCGGACGAGAGAGAGAGAGAGAGAGAGAGAGAGAGAGAGAGAGAGAGAGAGAGGAGTGTGAGAGAGGTGTGTGAGAGAGGAGATAGAATGAGAGGGGAGAGAGTGAAGGAAATATAGATGTAAATGATGTGTCGGTGGCGTGTGTGTTAGTGTGTGTGAGTGTGTGTGTGTGTGTGTGTGTGTGTGCGTGCGTGCGTGCATGCGTCCGTGTGTGTTAGTGTGTGTGTTAGTGTTAGTGTGTGTGTTAGTGTGTGTGTAAGTGTGTGTGTTAGTGTGTGTGTTAGTGTGTGTTAGTTTGTGTGTGTGTTAGTGTGTGTTAGTGTAAGTGTGTTAGTGTGTTACTGTGTTAGTGTTAGTGTGTTAGTGTGTTAGTGTTAGTGTGTTAGTGTTAGTGTGTGTGTGTTAGTGTGTGTGTGTTAGTGTGTGTTAGTGTGTGTTAGTGTTAGTGTGTGTTAGTGTTAGTGTGTGTGTATTAATGTGTGTGTGTTAGTGTTAGTGTGTGTGTGTGTGTTAGTGTTAGTGTTAGTGTTAGTGTGTGTGTGTTAGTGAGTGTTAGTGTGTTAGTGTGTTACTGTGTTAGTGTGTTTGTGTTAGTGTGTGTGTGTTAGTGTGTGTGTGTGTTAGTGTGTGTGTGTGTTAGTGTGTTAGTGTTAGTGTGTGTGTGTTAGTGTGTGTGTGTTAGTGTGTGTGTGTGTGTGTTAGTGTTAGTGTGTTAGTGTTAGTGTGTGTGTGTTAGTGTGTGTGTGTGTTAGTGTGTGTGTGTGTTAGTGTGTGTGTGTTAGTGTGTGTTTGTGTTAGTGTGTGTGTGTTAGTGTGTGTTTGTGTTAGTGTGTGTTTGTGTTAGTGTGTGTTTGTGTTAGTGTGTGTTTGTGTTAGTGTGTGTGTGTGTTAGTGTGTGTGTGTTAGTGTGTGTGTGTTAGTGTGTGTTTGTGTTAGTGTGTGTGTGTTAGTGTGTGTGTGTGTGTTAGTGTGTGTGTGTTAGTGTGTGTGTGTGTTAGTGTTAGTGTGTGTGTGTTAGTGTGTGTGTGTGTTAGTGTTAGTGTGTGTGTGTTAGTGTGTGTGTGTGTGTGTTAGTGTGTGTGTGTGTGTGTTAGTGTTAGTGTGTGTGTGTTAGTGTTAGTGTGTTAGTGTTAGTGTGTTAGTGTTAGTGTGTGTGTGTTAATGTTAGTGTGTTAGTGTGTTTGTGTGTGCTATTGTGTTTGTGTTAGTGTTAGTGTGTGTTAGTGTTAGTGTGTGTTAGTGTGTGTGTGTGTTAGTGAGTGTTAGTGTGTTAGTGTGTGTGTTAGTGTTAGTGTGTTAGTGTGTTAGTGTGTTAGTGTTAGTGTGTTAGTGTGTTAGTGTGTAAGTGTGTTAGAGTAGTGTGTTAGAGTAGTGTGTTAGTGTGTTAGAGTAAGGCAGGCACAACTTACCTGTCAGATATTCTACTGACACGCAGGGCTGCAATAGAGAAGGCACAAGAGTAAATAATCACGATCAATGGTCCACTTATACCGTTAGGTTTTCTAAAGATGCTCGATCGCAGTTATAAACATTACAAAACCAAATACAATGCAAGTGTCTTTTCGCATGTATGTCCAACGTCAATTTATAAGATGTACTAAATTATGACACCAACATCACGCCAACGTTTATAATTTTTAAAACAATGTTAAGGTAAGAAATTCAAAGTATCATCAGTTTCTGAAAAGAAATAGACTATATCTTCGCAACATTACCATCTGTCCAAAGCTGAGTCCAGTAAATGATACATTTAAGATCCGGGTAAGAATAGGTCTTCAGCAACCCATGCTTGTCACAAGAGAGGACTAACGGGATCGAGTGGTCAAACTCGCTGATTTGGTTGATGCATGTAATCGTATCCCAATTGCGTGTATTAATGCTCATGATTTCGATCACTGGATTGACAAGACCAGACTCGATTATTTGCAGACCGCCGCCATATAGAAGCAGCTGGAATATTGCTAAGTGCAGCGTTAAACAACAAACAACCAAAAATTAAAGTAATTTAAATCTTCTCAAAATCATCATTGCAGAATGCTTCGGTAAATCCACTCATCCACTGTAGTATTATTCGGCGTTGTTTGTTTCATATTTTATTTTCTTCTATTTTCTGTTACATAAGAATTAAAAAATGTCCCGATAGAAAGGAACACCATTAAAGTGGTACTCATACTACCCAAAAATATAATCTTTTATTCTTGATGTTTATTTTTGAAGTCTGAAAAAAAACATAAGTTTAGAATAGGTCACCACTGACATATGTTTGTCGTACGATGCTGAGTGGATCAGATGGCCAGGGTCGGCGACATTGTTGATTGCGTGTCACAGTATCAGTACGGCGTGTTCCTAATATCAGTCACTGGATTATATGGTCAAGACATTTTCAGGACGCCGTCAGATAGCTGTAATATTGCTGAGTGCGGCGTTAAACAACAAACACACTCGCCCACGCCACGAGTTATGCCACGTCACGTATGGTACCACATATCATAATATTGATCAAGTTTTCTGGCATTGCGATTTTGAGAAAAGGATTCGTAAAAAAAAAGATAAAACTGTTATTTTACAGGGTTGTTTTCAAAGTATATTTTCCTATGACAGATGCGAATAATTAATGCTGCGTCATATACCGAACCTGAAAAGCCCTGGCCATATGGGTTTCGGAAAAATATTTTTCACAATCTGACAGGTGTTTGGTGGAATTTCATTGTGAGTGAGTATGGTTGTACGTCGCATCTAACAACATTCCTGCAATATCATGGCGGTGGACACGTAAAATGTGTATCATACAATGTACCATGTAGGAAAACGAACCCGGGCCTTCGGCGTGACGAACGAACGCGTTACCCACAAGGCTACCCCACCGAACCTCTAACAGAATGCATATCAATGACAAATCCACTCTCGGAGTACAAATCAAGCAAATATAAATTCACAACTGTTGTATTCAGCCAATCGACACAATAAAACTCGACCAAGGTACTAACAGTCTTAACTACTGCTGGCAACGTTTTGACAGACGAGTCCAGATAGGACATGCACACTACGTTCATACACGTCTCGGGGCGGTCGGGTAGCCTAGTGGTTAAAGCGTTCGCTCGTTACGTCGATGACCCGGGTTCGATTCCCGACATGGGTACAATGTGTGAAGCCCATTTCTGGTGTCCCCCGCCGTGATATTGCTGGAATATTGCTAAAAGCGGCGTAAAACCATACTCACTCATTCACTCACTCATACACGTCTTCATATTAATGACAGCGAGCCGTGTCCCGATCTACATGGACACTTACAAATTACACTTAACAGTGCAAACGACCAATTCTCCGTGTCTTCTCTTAGGCCAGCGCCATTCCTATGACGTCAATATTTTGTCATTTAGCTATCAGAAGACTTCACCAGAAAAGACTCTAAGCATAGCCAATCTGTTCCTCGCCCTGGCGCCAATAGCAGCTGACGAGTCTTTAGTATCTGCAATCTACTTGCTATCAAATTAGTATCCCTGTTGGCAAGCTTCGATTTATCTAGCTTTGAACAAGCGGTTTCCTTAATGTGGCATGTCCTTGTTTTTATTATTCCAGGAATCAAGTCTGATCGCCAACTTAATCGCTATGACACTAGCGTTAAAGAAAGATTTGATTATTATGTAAATAGCTGTAGGTGACGTCATGGCTGATGTGAGGGGTGACGCAAATAATGACAGAAGCAATCAGGTTTGGAATAACTAATTGTCTCGAATTAAATGAAGCCTTTTAGAAGATAACGTGTTTAAATTATTCCCAAACATGTTTTCAAGAGGCAAGCATTGCCCTTTGTGAAAGGCTCTGTCTAATCAAGTTTTTTGTGTGTTGGCTACACAGTCAGTAGTGCTCTTGGCTACTAATGGTCATTTATACATAATCATAATGAAATCAGAACTAGTTTGTGTGTTGACAAGATACGAAAGCCCTGGGCGTGAGTTATAACCAAATAAAAGGATGAGAGAATGGGACATTCCGTTATATGGGTTGAGTGCATTAGCAGGTGAGGTGAAATGGGGTTTAACGTCGCGTCCAAGATTATTGCACTTATACAGCGACGTGTGTGTGTGTGTGTGTGTGTGTGTGTGTGTGTGTGTGTGTGTGTGTGTGTGTGTGTGTGTGTGTGTGTGTGTGTGTGTGTGTGTGTGTGTGTGTGAGTGTGTGTGTGTCTGCTTGTACTAGTCCAAACTGATGCCGATTTATAGTGCTAGCTCCACTGAGATACCATGCTGCAGTTGAGCATGAATATCCAACTCAGACACAGTATACTAACTCTGGACTAGTACAGACGGACATACAGACAGACACCACCCAACCCCACCTCAACCCCACACCACACACCTCTACCCCACACACCACACCTCTACCCCACGCCCCACACACCACATACACGTGCAAGATCGTCCCTACAATAATCTCGACCGCGACGATAAATTCCCTTTTCATCTCACCTCACCTACATGTATTTACATCAGCTAGCATAGTGTGATGGGGACCCATTCTGTCTTGGATCTCATGAAGGAGCTAGCATAGTGTGATGGGAACTCATTCTGTCTTAGATCTTATGAAGGAGCTAGCATAGAGTGATGGGGACCCATTCTGTCTTGGATCTCATGAAGGAGCTAGCATAGAGTGATGGGGACTCATTCTGTCTTGGATCTCATGAGGGAGCTAGCATAGAGTGATGGGGACCCATTCTGTCTTGGATCTCATGAAGGAGCTAGCATAGAGTGATGGGGACTCATTCTGTCTTGGATCTCATGAAGGAGCTAGCATAGCGTGATGGGGACTCATTCTGTCTTGGATCTCATGAAGGAGCTAGCATAGAGTGATGGGGACCATTCTGTCTTGGATCTTATGAAGGAGCTAGCATAGCGTAATGGGGACCATTCTGTCTTGGATCTCATGAAGGAGCTAGCATAGAGTGCTCGGGACCCATTCAGTCTTGGATCTCATGAAGGAGCTAGCATAGCGTGATGGGGACTCATTCTGTCTTGGATCTCATGAAGGAGCTAGCATAGAGTGATGGGGACCCATTCTGTCTTGGATCTCATGAAGGAGCTAGCATAGAGTGATGGGGACCCTTTCTGTCTTGGATCTCATGAAGGAGCTAGCATAGAGTGATGGGGACCCATTCTGTCTTGGATCTCATGAAGGAGCTAGCATAGTGTGACGGGGGCCCATTCAGTCTTGGATCTCATGAAGGAGCTGGCATAGAGTGATGGGGACTTATTCGGGCATAGACATCTGGTGCCTGTCTTGCATGGGATATTAAGACTCTAGCATTGACAACTTGATGCCTGTCCTGCATGGTATATGAAGAGGCTAGCATTGCCAGCTTGGTGCCTGTCCTGTACGGGATATGAAGAGGCCGCCATAGACAACTTGGTGTCTGTCCTGTACGGGATATGAAGAGGCTAGCATAGACATCTTGGTGCCTGTCCTGTACGGGATATGAAGAGGCTAGCATAGACAACTTGGTGTCTGTCCTGTACGGGATATGAAGAGGCTAGCATAGACAACCTGGTGTATGTCCTGTACGGGATATGAAGAGGTTAGCATCGAAACTTGGTGTCTGTCCTGTACGGGATATGAAGAGGCTAGCATGGAAACTTGGTGTCTGTCCTGTACGGGATATGAAGAGGCTAGCATGGAAACTTGGTGTCTGTCCTGTACGGGATATGAAGAGGCTAGCATGGAAACTTGGTGTCTGTCCTGTACGGGATATGAAGAGGCTAGCATGGAAACTCGGTGTCTGTCCTGTACGGGATATGAAGAGGCTAACATGGAAACTTGGTGTCTGTCCTGTACGGGATATGAAGACGGTAGCATAGACAACTTGGTGCCTGTCCTGTACGGGATATGAAGACGCTAACATAGACAACTTGGTGCCTGTCCTGCTCGGGATATGAAGACGGTAGCATAGACAACTTGGTGTCTGACCTGTACGGGATATGAAGACGCTAACATAGACAACTTGGTGTCTGACCTGTACGGGATATGAAGACGGTAGCATAGACAACCTGATGTCTGACCTGTACGGGATATGAAGACGGTAGCATAGACAACTTGGTGTCTGACCTGTACGGGATATGAAGACGGTAGCATAGACAACTTGGTGCCTGTCCTGTACGGGATATGAAGACGGTAGCATAGACAACTTGGTGTCTGACCTGTACGGGATATGAAGACGCTAACATAGACAACTTGGTGTCTGACCTGTACGGGATATGAAGACGGTAGCATAGACAACCTGATGTCTGACCTGTACGGGATATGAAGACGGTAGCATAGACAACTTGGTGTCTGACCTGTACGGGATATGAAGACACTAGTATGACCTATTCTGCCCCGAAAGTCCCATGAGGGTAACACCTTACTAAGCATCTCCCCCATGGCCTAAACTTTCCTATCACCCAGAAACTGCATACAAAGGTCAAAGATAGATTACCTCGCTTTCACAGGCTGTGATAATTTCTGGCAAATTAGCGATAACTTAAAATGCCACCTGGTTGTGACTCCGGGGGCTGTTGTTACAGTTAGGACTATCCTACACTCATAGACTGGATGTGTCTCTAGGCGTGCGTAATATATTATGAACAAATTCAGATTTGCGTTTCATTTTACACTTGCCATGACATTAACGTTATAGAAGGAAAACTACTATAGACGGAGGTGATGTGAAATGGGGCTCAACATGGCGTTCAACGTTAGAGTGAGCGAGGGAATGGAGAATGTGCTAGAGGAAAACCTAAAGTGATTTTGTGTGACTCTCTGTCTGTCTGTCAGTCAGTGGAGTTACCTCTCTACACATGTCAGCAGTGCACCATCTTGATTAAAGGTATCTCTCAAAACAGACAAGTTATTGAGTGAACACTGAACTGTCCTAAGCCCTCCAAATGACCTTAGCGCTTAGACGATCGTATCTTCCATACTTTTACATTCACATACGACAGTCGTAGCGCAAAGATCACTTTATGGAACGAGGCCTGTGCCTTTAAGATCACAAAGCCAACACACAAGTCGTTTGTGAACTGACTGCTCGCAGGCTCCCTTTAAGACGAGGTTACTTAATAACCCGTAACCACATTGTCAATGACTACTTTAAATATTGCTTGGTTGTGGGCAACCTAAACCTAGCCCTAACCCAGTATAAATGATTTTCTAATACTTCTCTCCAGGTAGGGCTAATGCGGTATTTTAAAATTCGAAGCAGGGTTTACGGGCGGAAGTTTTGCCATAATGTCGACAGAATCCATATCGAAACTATATTGTCTCAGGTTTTTTGGAATTAACGATGTCTCATTACATAGTTTTTAAGGCATTTCATAGTTCTACCCGTTATGAGATTTAAACATCCCATATAATTTGGAACTGTGAAATAAATTATAATATTTATCAAAGAATTATTCAAGCTTACGTTCCCCCAAAACAGATTGAGGCACACACTCATACCTGTGTAACCGTCACACTCAACATATTTCAGCCAATCGTATTGCGGCTCATATCCTACAATGTTTAAAAATCCCATTCAACATTTGTCAAAAAATCCAACTGCCGCACATGCAAACAAACAAACATGCACACGTCTGTTTAACGTTGGTAAAATCACGTTTGCTGTTATGGGTATTATAACTGTTATTTATAAATTGGCTCAACGATATCGGGCACCACTGACCGGAAATGCGTCAGGTGTATATGGCTGCGGTTCCATTTCCCCATTCTGCGGGACTTCTTCCACCTCACTTCCTGCATTGCCTTGTGGGACGGCTGTGTCTGTGTTTCGTTTGTTGTGAAGGAGGCTTGTGAGGGGTGTCGCGGACGTTAAATAATAACAAGAGGATAACAGAACAATACCAGCCAATACGCGGGAGTCTAGTCGTGGCATGTTGTTGCAGTGGACGAATATCTGAAACAAAGGAAAACAACATTATAGTCATGACAATAGTATTAAAAAACCTGATCGGTTTGACGTAAACGTGCTTATTTCTTGTATCCTTGTTCCTTTTGATACAAGGGGTGGAATAGGTCTTCAGTAACCCATGCTTGCCGTAAATGGCGTCTATGCTTGTCGTAAGAGGCGACTAACGGGATCGGGTGGTCAGGCTCGTTGACTTGGTTGATGCATGTCATCGTTTCCCAATTGCGGGGATCGATGCTCAAGATATCAATCACTTGATTGTCATGTCCAGACTCGATTATCTACAGACTGCCGTCATATAGTTGGAATATTGCTAAGTGCGGCGTTAAACAACAAACCAACAAACCTAATGATACAAGGGCCATGGATGCCCCTCAAGATCAAGGCGCCGCCGTTCCACGAGCAGAGTTGTGTCCCTTTGGTGCGCCATAATCCTATAATCGTGAGTTCGAATACAAGATTCGCACTGATTCCGCCACTGATCTGTCAGCACCCATGCTCGCTGGTTCCATTAAGAAAAAAACGTCTACCTGCATCCTTTCACTGATTATCAGATAAAAAGATAAAAGATAACTACAGCTAATAAAATCAACTCTTTGTCTTCTATTCGCAATTACGTCGATGTAAGTAATACCTCGCAATAGCAAGATCATATAATTTTGTTTAAATATCATCCTTCACAAAATATATCATGTGTGCAGATGGTTGTATCTGTAAAGAAACTCAGAGTCTGCATTATGTCTTTAGTTAGAGTCCTTAGTTGCTTCTTAATTAACTGGACCGCCTCCGTGGGTTAGTGGTAGAGCGTCAGCCCGGAGAGCGTCAGGGAAAGTCAGGGTTAGACCCCCGGCCGTATCATACCTAAAGACGTCAACAAATGGTGTTTGTTGAAACCCTGTCTGGCGCTCGGCATTAAAGGGCTGAAACAAGTACTATATACGGCTTGGAGTCAGTATACAGTGTCTGAGTGGGGTATTCATGTTAGACTACTGTATGAAATCTCAGTGAGCTAGCACTATAAATCAGCATCAGTCCGGACTACAGTACAAGCAGCCACACGCACACACACACACACACACACACACACACACACACACACACACACACACACACACACACACACACACAAATAAGTGCAATCTTCCACGCGACGTTAATCCCCATTCACCTTACCAGTGACCCAGTCATCTGAAGCGCCGACATTCGCTATGCAGAGTTGCGTCCCTTGATCGTAGGTTTCCCCTGGTGTTTCTTTGTTTGTTTGTTGTTTAACGCCGCACTCAGCATTATTCCAGCTATATGACGGAGGTCTGTAAAATGTTCGAGTCTGGACCTGACAATCCAGTGATTGACACCATGAGCATCGATCCACGCAATTGGTATCGATGACATGTATCAACCAAGCCAGCGAGCCTGACCACCCGATCCCGTTAGTCGCCTTTTACGACAACCATAGTCGCCTTTTACGGCAAGCATGGGTTGTTGAAGACTTATTCTACCCCGGATCTTCACGGGTCGATTATGTTTCTAGGTTTGTCAGCACCATGCTCGTGGGTTTCACCGAAGTGGTAAACATCTGAAACCTGCATTACTTTTGGGCTTCCCTCTCACATTAAGCTGACACGCCGTGATATAACTCACTCACTCTTCATTAACTGGTGTCACCGTTATCAATAGAATGAATCAGAACCTGTGGTGAATGGGGTTCCGGGACAGACGACTCGACATTGTATAGAACACAAAAAGCAAATTATGGCTCGGACGTTCTCAACAGTCGTGATGGATATAGTGCGGTTAAATGACGTCACTATTACCTGCCTTCGTGGCCACCCCGGGTAAGAATACTTCAACAGCAACCGATGTTGATCGCGAGAGGAGACAAAATAAATCGGGTGGTCGATTGCGTGTCATCGTACACCGACATCGGTCACTGAGTGAGTGAGTATGGTTTTACGCCGCTTTTAGCAATATTCCAGCAATATCACGGTGGGGGACACCAGAAATGGGCTTCACACATTGTACGCATGTCGGGAATCGAACCCGGGTCTTCGGCGTGACGAGCGAACGCTTTAACCACTAGGCTACCCGACCGCCCCACATCGGTCACTGGATTGTCTAGACCAGACTCGATTATTTACAGGTCGCCGTGATTGCCCAATATATATATATACTTGCATATAGACCGCCATCATATAATAGGAATAGGGGCGGTGGGGTAGCCTAGTGGTTAAAGCGTTTGCTCGTCACGCCGAACACCCGGGTTCTATTCCCGACATGGGTACAATGTGTGAAGCCCATTTCTGGTGTCACCCGCCGTGATATTGTTTGAATATTGCTAAAAGCGGCGTAAGACCAAACTCACTCACTCACTCATAGGAATATTGCGGAGTGCGACGTTAAACAACACACGTCATCAACTGGAGACGCAGTGGTCAACCAAGATGTGCTCGTGGGACAGTCGACTGTTTGTTCGCTACGTGTTTAAAGATCAATCATCTGACCGGTGTTCCTAATTCCGTGGTCGACATCTCTATTACTTCCGAAAACGATTTCTGTGGGACAAACGAGTCCATGATTTGTGTTAGCAGAAGACAGCTAATCCTTTACAATCAATACACAAATTTGAAGAGCGACGTTGCATGTGTCGAGTCGACGTGGCGCCTTCACGAATACACGTAAAGCATGATCTCCACGTGCACCGGGTCACACTGCACAGCAGCGCCATCTGCAACGGAAATTGAGCCTTCCGTCACACGCGGAACGCGTTCTGCCCAAAGTATAACAAGCCGAATAGCGACTCGTGCCCTTCTCGTGGCCATCTTTGCGTCTGAGCGCAAACGGGCATAGCTAAAACTCGTCGCGTAATGATTCACGTATATTTCCCCCATATATCACATATATTCCAGATGCTATTGAAAACACATCGGGACTTACATTATTATAAAGTATGGTTGAACACATTTAAATGTGTCTTGGGTATGCAAGGCATATGTAAAATCAAACAATATTCCTGAGGGATTCTTAGACCGAAGTAATTAAAGCCATACGCGCATTCTGATTGGTTTGTCGTATTTTCGCACATAACATTCATCGATGGGGGGGGGGGGGGGGGGGCAGTCTTCTTGATTACGGAAAGGGGCGAGTGGTGACGAATGCCCCAAAACGCTGTGTTTACGGCGCTTTGTCTTGAGTTGTTGTGTACGTCATCTGACGTTATTTCGGTAGTGTTGAGGCCGTCTTCTCACTTGCAGATCACCCATCAAGTTCGTATTTCCTGTTCAATGTTTATATCAGCATTTTAAGGAGATTGTAACAAAAATACCAGAGCCGGGAGCTTGACTGCTTATTGAGTGTTTGCTTCAGATGTTTCACTTCCGGAACCTCTATTCTACCGCCTCTGTTCCACCACGTTTCTCCCAAACTTGTTTTGCTTTAACATTTTGGAAGACTGTGGAGTTGTTATCGTGGTTCCAGTGAATATCAGTAATAGATATTGAAGCATATCCGTTTGGAAATGGTGTTTGGGTCCCCATTGACATTTAAAATAAACATTATAGTGTAATCGTAGCTAACAAAACGCAAAATCTTTGATTTGTTGAAAAGTTGTGCCTTGATAACTAGCTTTCTTACAGAATACACGATGCCATTGAGAAAGTGGTCAAATGTAACATATGGGATTACACTCACCCAAGTATAACATCTGTTTCATTTGACCACTTTCTCAATTGCATCGTGTCTTTATAGCTTTCGGCCATGTGAGCCGTCCCAATTTACACTTGTCAAAGGGGTACACAAAGTACGTGATCTAGACTTAGTCTACCAATTGTCTGACTTTCATTTTTGTGGAAGCCTCGTTGGCTGAGAGGGTTGGATCGCTGACTTTGTGTGCTGGTGATTAGGTGCCTCACTCTGACAGTGCGGGGTTCGAGTCCCGGATAGAACTCAATCCAAAAAGTACCGGAATCTGTACTGTTCAAAGAGTGTAATCCGAAATATAACATATGTTACAACTTTCTTACTTTTTCTTTCTCCTTAGAGAACCCGCAGTAAAATATCTCACACAGTAACCTGGATCGGGTGGTCAGACACGCTGACTTGGTTAACTGTGTGTAATCGTACTCTGGGGAAATAAATTGGTATGTGCAATATCTTTTTCCAACAATTCCCTTGCTATTTCGTGCATGTTTTATTAATTTTGTGTATAATTATTTTGTTTTGAGCTTTGAATAACCAGTTGCAGTAACGTTTGTACGAGAAGGTACATGTTTACGCGCCTAAGCTATCTCTATAATTCTATTCCCTATGCTAAAAACAGTAGCACTTAAGTAGTGTTGCTATCTTAGCATCATCTAAGCGAATATCGAAATATGGAGTGGCGGTCGGGTAGCCAAGTGGTTAAAGCGTTAGCTCGTCACGCCGAAGACCCGGGTTCGATTCCCGACATGATTACAAAGTGTGAAGCCCATTTCTGGCGTCCCCCGCCGAAGACTGTGCGGTGTCAGCGACAAACAAGCCGGTAGAGCAGACGTGCGTACCCTTGTCGCTAACACCTAATGTCATCACTGAGTTTGAATGATCCATTCATATATTTTCCACCGCTATTTTGACATTTATGGAATCTGTTTCGCCGGATAATCGATACTGATTATCGTCTAGCGTTGACGTTTCACATCTTTATACACGAAGGTCCATCAACATTTCATAAAGCGGTGTCATCGCTACGTAAGTCAATCTTAAGAGTTACGATCGTTTTAGCGCAAACATGGCTTTGTGAAACGGGCCCTGGTATATGTATTATTAACATGATGTCCGCTCGGAAGCATGTGTGACAGAACAAGATTGGGATGTCTTCCTTAATGACTGCTGAAATCAATCTGGCCAATACCTCTCGTCGACACTGCCCCAAACCTGTGTTTTTCCCGTCCCAAAATGTCAACAGTTACTCCTGTATTGAGACGGCGTAACGTATGTGGTGCTGCTCTAATACC